AAACATAATTGCAATGCTTTTATTTCTCAAATTATAATGAGTTTAGTGTATATAAATGAGATGGAATTTTACACCATTCAAAAAGGGATATGAACCCCATTCTGATAACTAAATCCTTTTGTTTGTAAATACACAGGATAGGGGTCAATGAAACCACACTTTCAAATTAAAAAAACTCAGGAATGACAGCATGGACGTCATTTTGTTCCCTCTTGAAACGCCGAACATGCCGCGGTGTATGCAGCTGAAAATACAGTGGCGTCTTATTTTGTTTACAAGCGACGGATTCCTTATTTTGTTTTATCCTTGCATTTCCATCAAAATGATACAATGCACGGGGTTTAGAGTGAGGCAACAGATTAAACATTTCGCATGAGGGTATTGAAGTAAGAGAAATAACTGAAGAAAAGATGACAAAACAGGCACTGAAATTGTGTGAGATGTCATGGGACATCGTCTGCTTGTGCACATCATGTTCAAAATGAGACGTCATATCTCAGCAGCGACCGGAGAGCTTTTCAGGTGCTATGTCGGGGCTGTATATAAGCGTTTTTGTAATTGTTAATAATAGGGACTTTTAGATTGGGTGGACTGATACGTGTGACGTCCATTCAATCAGTGCATTAAAAGGACGTCGATCCTAGCAATCCACGTTGTCGTTCGGCAAAACTAAAAGTCCCTATTCATTACCCTGACGGACGGCAATGCTCACCCTGAGCCTCAACCCCCCCCCCCCCACATTCGTTCAGGGGTGGGGGGGGGGGGGTAGTGAACACTTAATTTGTTTTGCTATTTTGAACCCCCCTAAGGGATATTTTCCTGACATCTACTAACATCTACTAATACTGTGTGGGTCTGGACACATGATGGCGTTTTCTATGCACATCACATTTTTACTTGGCAGCCCAAGGGGATGGGGGTTAAACCTCCACCCCCACCCCCGTAGATCCGCACCTGTGCTGATTGAGAATATACACAAATTACACCTCTAATTTTATGAGAATAATTCGTTTTATTTTAGCTCTAACTTGTAACTCTAAGAGTTACTAAGAATAGTTCAGTCAAGTTCAAATCTTATTGACAATATTTTTGTCAATGACACAAGTCTAGTGTTGAAAAGCGGTATTTTACTGGCAGACATTTCAGACAACCTTCCAATTTTTGTATTCAATTGGTCAAAACATAGTGAATGCATTGTGAGAGAAACAGTTTGGAATCGACCAGAAAAGGTTGATCCTCTAGCAAATAAGAATTTGTGTGTATTGCAAGGTTCTGGAATCATCAAAATGGTAGGAAATTTGGCCAAGTCTTGGCAAAGTTACAAACACTGTATACAAAAAGATGTATATGGGACTTTTCAGGGAACATGTCTTATCTGATGTTCTTCCACACTTGCATAATAAGAATGATACCGCTCACAAATTATTTTTCACGTCTTCCCAGAACTCAACCTTCTCTTTAAGCGGAAAAAAGGTATACCGCCAGTATCGAAATACTTTCACTTCAATTATTCGAAGGTCAACAGAATCTTACTATGCAAAGCAGTTTGAAGAAAGTAATTGCAGTAAACGAACCTGGAATATTATTAACAACATGTTGAAAAGGGAAATCAAAAGAAAGAACCAAGACTGTTTTCGTGATGAAAATAATAAGAAACTTACAGATCCTGTTGATATTGCAAACAAATTCAATAAATATTTTATAAGCATTGGGACAGCGTTTACAGATACAAGTAATATTTACATGCTGAAGTGTAGGTCTTATATGAATGGTCAATATCAACAGTCAATGTTGCTGAAACCAATAGAAAGTCATGAAATTATAGATATAGTGAAGGCATTGAAAATTGGTAAGAGTCCTGGTCATGATAATCTAACTGTTTCTGTCATTAAAGAATCAATCTATTTCATTCTTGCTCCACTTGTACATATTTTAACCTTTCCCTCTCCATTGGTAAATTCCCTCACAGTACGAGGCTGGTGAGGGTGACTCCGATCTATAAGAAAGACTTTCTCGATCAGTTTTGGAATTATAAACCGGTGTCCCTCTTGCCCGTTTTCTCCCAAATCTTGGGAAAATTATTTTACTCTCGATTATTGTCTTACATTGAGAAACGAGAGATATTGTCGAATTTTCAATATGGCTTCAGATCTGGTCATTCAACTATATTGGCCTTGACATATTTTTGGACCAAATACTTACTTCCCTTGATGATAGCAAACATTCACTCTGTTTGTCATTGGATATCTCAAAAGTTTTTGACTCAATTAATCATCAAGCCTTATTATCCAAATTGGAGTACTATGGTGTGAGGGGTTTGCCATTACAGTGGATAAAGGATTATTTAAAGGGAAGAAAATATGTTGTTTATGATAATGCAACTTCATTTGAAAAAGAACTTATATGCGGAGTGCCCCAAGAATCAATAAATGGGCCACTGTTGTTTATTCTATATATAAACGATTTGCCAAATGTTTCCTCAACTTTGTCATACATTATTTTTGCAGACGATACCAATGTCTCTTTGAGCGAGAAGAAACTAGATAATCTTGTCCATAATATGAATAAAAAAATACAAAAGGTTAATATTTGGTATAAAGTGAATGGGTTAAGGATAAAAATTGAGAAAACAAATTGTATGCATTTTGCACCATTGAATGAACAATAGTGTAAGAACTTACTTACTCTAAAGTTTGTTGATTCACTAGAGCCCTTAAAGCAAGTACATAGTGCCCGCTTCTTGGGAGTTAACATTGATGACTAAATATCATGGTCTTTACATATTAATGATATTGCATTGAAGATCTCGAGAATTACTGGAGTTATATCAAAACTGAAATTTGTATTACCGTCAAAGGTACTGCTTTTACTATACAATTCATTAATTCTACCTTATTTACAATATGGGAATATGCTATGGATAAATGCATCAAATACATTGTTAAATCATTTACATTTGTTGGAAAAAAGTGTAATACGCGTAGTTGCCAAGTCTCATTATTTGGCCCATACCAACATTATCTTTAAACAATTAAGGATTTTGACTGTATATGAATTAGGTAGGTTACAACTGGGAGAATTTATATACAGGTCTGAAAAGGGACTATTACCAAACTCACTTAAAAACTGGTTTAGATGCAACAGTGATGTACATTGTTACATTGTATCAGGGTTACCTTACATGGTCTGATTTAGATGACAGTCTCAAACAATCTGCATCATTACGACAATTTAAGTTGAAATATAAGAAATATCTTTGCAATTCTAAATAGCCATTATTAATTTTAAAAATAATTACTATTATGTTTCAAATCGCAATTATGTTTTCATCGGGTCAATTTAATATAATTATAAAAGCAGACATTTGAGGATGTGTTTACTCTGCCTTTATACTTGGCCACACACATTCTCAGGGTGGACTTCCCCTCCATTGCTACCAGGGCTAGACTCGACAAGCTTCCCTTTTTCTAGCCCCATCTACATTACTTATCTTTTTATGTTTTAATGTTGATGTTTGTTGACTGATGTAGATTTTCATTGTTCTTTTATGCTTATGTTTCTGTTTTTCATTTGCTTTATGTGTCAAATGTGTACAATGTATTCTCTTACCTTGTATATTGTTCTGGTTTTTAATGTGGAAAATAAATGAAATGAAATGACATGAACTAAGAAAGTATTAACACATGATTATTTAGGTCATGTTCATAATTTTGCAGCCATTGTTTTATGGACTACCTTGCCGGAAAAGCTTATAATTTTAGAAACAAACGAAAAGTTTAGAAGTAATTTGCAAACGTAATTTGCAAACGTACATATTTTATTAGCACTTTGTAAAATCTCACTATTATGTACCTAGTGCACAATTTCCACTCCTTCTGTACAGTGCCTCTAAGACAAAACGAAACCGAGAATTATCGATGTTTTAGGATAACTTGATCACAATTGTAATTAATAAACGACACAAAGCTTAGTAAAGCTTACATCCTCTTCTTTCATTAATTTGATGCAACTCATATGATGCATATTCCACGCGTGAGTGATTGAAAACGATTTGAAGAAAGGGTACCAGAAAGTCATTTGGCGAACGGTATATGAATTTCAAAGAGAAAAATCACATTTCTAGAAATATTTTCTGCCCTTTCATATGAAATGAGCCAGGAATAAAAAAAAGTTCTGTTTGTTTAAAGCCCCTCTGTACTAGTTTGGCCAGGAGGGATTAGAGTATTAGACCTCCCACCATGGTCAACGACAGGGGGTTATCTCATCAAATCAGCTCACAATTAACATAAGAAAAAGGGATCATGGGGGGCCAATGGTCACCGATTAGGCATTGTTTGCTATAAAGAGGGCGCAAGTAGCCATAGGTAGTGCAGTGGGGCTTTAAAGTAATGCTTGCATTTCCATAGTTTTATTAAACGAATCCTTTCCACTGGCTGTCTGCCCTAACAACAAAGAAGACGTAAGACTTCATCGTGCCTGATCGTCAACGAAACGGAGTTTGATGTTTGTTGCTACGGCAGGCAGCCAGTGAAAACGAAACCATCATATTTAAAGAATGCCCGATATCATACCAATAAGGGTTATTTTCCTGAATAAAAAAATGTTTCAATTTAAATTTTTGGCTATTGGATTTTAATTTTTTTTTTAATACGCTCCCCCTACCTTTACTTGTGGATATTGTGTGCCCTTTCCCCATATGAACTCCCACCTAATGACAGCTAGTCAAAAAACTGAGCTTTCCTCTAGACTTACTAACTCCCAAATCACAAAAATATATATATATATTTTTTGGGTACAAGGTTGAAGTATCTCTCACCAAAAAGAAAATCCAATTTTTAATAATATTTTTGTGTGCCCACAATCAATATTCGACAACCCTGATCTACAATCGAACTGAGTTAAATTTATTGAAACCTTATATATGTTAAAACAAAACATACAATAGAAAATGGAATACATAACACGTATAAAAAAAAATATAAAGGAAGTATATGGTAATGACCACAAAGACGTAAATTGCTTATGAAATGGGCTTCCACATAAAACAAATTAAATTCAATATGATTCAAGAAATAAAGAAAAAGACACAACTGAGTATGGATGTATATTCAAATAGTCACTATGAAAATGATATCATATCGTGATATCGATACATTGAACAGTGGCCCGTATTTTAAAAGTTGTCCGTCTTTCTTATTCAACTGACGATGTGTATAGACTATAGGTGCGGTCTAAGATTGAAAAGGAAAATCAATTTGTCACCGTATTTATTTTACACTGTACATTTACTTGACTTAGGCACAGTGTCGTGTGGAAACTTAACAGAACATAAGTCATTCTCTTTTTATGTACATGTAGTTGTGTCATATATGTATGCAATACAAATTAAACATTATTATGAAATAGAATACACTATGAATATCCTCTTCAATCCTGCTACAATTTTATACACGAAATGAAATGTATAATATCACTGTTGCTCGGTCTAAACTTGAACTGTGTCCCCCTTTCACATCATCATGATCATCATTCGTAGTTACCTTTCACGTGGCTGATTATAAATACATTCTAGCATTCTCTAGCTGAACACTTTCCTTCTCTCGTCTAAAAAACAGTTACGTAGCGTCAATATATAGCCACCTATCTAGGCGCCCCAAATACCGTATTTATAACTTTAGAGCGACTTGTTAGAGTACCTATTTGAAAAGCATGCTCTGCGGTTCCGCCACTGGTTGATGGAACAGAGTCGAACTGAGGTCTAGATGATGCAGCTGTTGCATATGATTTATTCCAGTGATTTAAATGTTTTACACCAATGTCAGTCTGGAGAAGATTCGTCACATTGTCGACATTTTCAACGTAAGACTTGAGGCCATCGTCATCTAGATCCTCTAATAAAGTTTTACTTTCCAACTTTGGAACAGCAATCGCCAGACTCGTTTTAAATTGTTCCCCTTTTACTTTGAATTTAGCATAATCTGATTTCCGTTGCTTCATTGTGTTGCTCAGTCTTGCTAATTTAGCCTTATACTCGTTTTCAATTAATTGCTTCGCCCTGGTATGTTCAGAATGCAGCAGCTGTTCTGCCTGATCAGCTTCACGGAGATTGTTCTCAACGGTTTTCAATTGAACCTGATATTTCTGTTTGGCATCTTGGGCCTTTTGACTTAGCTCTCCCAGAAATTCGTTTCTTGTCTTGATTACATGGTTGGAATGGTTTTCTTGGAAACACTTAAAGCATATCATATCCTGGCAGGTACTGCAGTAAATGACCCTTTGCTCTTGGTTGTGCTCACTGCATGTGGCAATTCTTTTGGACCTTTTACACGAAGGCCCTGGCTCTTCACTCAAGTCCTGGTCTAGGATCCCCACGATTGGTATAATTCGACTAAGTCCATTCACTCCACTTTCTGTTAGTTCGGTATCATGTCTGCAAGTGGGACAAGAAATAGTTAAAAACTGTAGAAACCCTACCCGTTTTCGCATGAGCCTATCCAGACAGTTCTTGCAGAATACATGTCCACATACGAGAATGCGGGGATCATGGAAGATATCGGTGCAGATAGCGCAGATGAGATGTTCCGTCACATCTGGATGTGATGATACCTTGCGTTTCCTCTTCATGTCTGTCTCACTTTTATAACTTAAATCCTGACTGAAAGAGAATAGAGAAAGAGAATTTAAATTCTATCTGAGCCTATAGTATGTTCATATTCTCAAGAATAATCTATATGCCTATTATTTTAGTTCACGAAATATTACGAGTGGGGATATATTTATATTTCGGATTCTTTTAGGGGTGACAGTGAATACGTGATGCGTAAAACAAATTTCAAAACAAAAAAAACGTGTGACATGGCTGCACTTTGCATCAAAGATAAGGTGAGTTCTGGTAATGCGATTGCATTGCGAAAGAAAAGGTGTGGAATGGATCAGATAAAGTTAATCTTGTAGCATGTAAGTATTGGTGTGCACTGCAAGGTTCTGGAGTCATCAAAACCATAATAAATTTGGCCCAGTCTTGGTAAAGTAACAATTAGCATTGTACACAGAAAGATGATGGGACTACACAAATGGTGTCGGGGCTACCTACCTTGATTTCCTTATTTTTCTCTGCTCATTACTCAGCCAATATACATTTTCTTCCAAAATTGTTTGGCACATGACATTTATTTGTAATCTTGAACATTCAGTGTAAGCTCCGTTTGATTCTGTGAGAATTCTTTTTTTTTTTAACCAGAACTCAAGTTTATCTTTAAAACAATAACAAAAATAACAAATTGATAATAATGGTACACAATATATATGTATCAATATTTTTCCCATTATAACATCTTCGTATCGCCAAAAACATTATATCCACAACTGTTCCCATTTGTGACTTTCCTCAAACTGTTTGGAACCGATTATTTTTTTCTTTTTCTTTTTTAAAAGTAAAACCTATTGTCAACCTAGAGTTCTTGCCTGAATATCAAACGTTCTTACCACATGGGTTAGTAGGCACATTTGCAGTGCATGTGATTTTCAACTAAACTGAGTCTCATTTAATTCGATCATTCCAAAACCCCAAAGTATAAGCATGATCAATCGTTCCCGACTGCTTCCAAACAGTTTCTCACTATGATTTCGCATAACCAGTTACTAACCTTAACTTTATATTTAACAAGCAAAATGATACCACTTACCAGAGATGAGATCCTGATAGGTCTGCAGTTCACCAAATGTGTTTTGGGGCTTAATCTAAGCAACGTACCGAATAAGTATGCGGTAGAAATTGATTCCCGCTCTAATATCGGCCTGAATACAGGCGATTACTGTGCTTTTCTGATCACGTCGTCAGTCTATTGAATTTCCTTAAATAACAGGAACTCATAGTTGAAATCAGGGGCATCGACATGCTCTACAAACAAAGGACGTCTCGTGCTGCTCATAATAGGGGCGGATGTGTTTTTTTGCTGGGGGGGGGGGGGGGGTGGGGGGAGGTTGACCCAATGACGATACTGTGTGGGTCTGGACACGTGATGGCGTTTTGCTATGCACGTCACATTTTCACTTGGCAGTCCAGGGGAGGGGGGGGGGGGTTAAGGGGTAGATTTGCATCTGCATAAAATCTTCTCCCTTCATTATTTATTCTGCTTTTTCATAGCCGGAAAATCGTCATGAAATCGGTTATCACAAAACTGGACAACATGAATTTCTATTTAAAAAACGTAATAGTCATTATCCTCAATCGATGAAACATAGGAAAAAATACAATGACAACTTGATATTAAAAAACCCTTGTTTATACCGCTTAATTTTTGTCAATCGACGAAAAATATGTACCAGCAGGAGCGGAGGGGGAGGGGTGAGGGTACCTATTAACCTCAATTTGGAATTCCCCAGAACGACGCCCGAGTTGGAATTCCCCAGGACGAGGCATGTGGAGCAACCACCTGCCACTGTCTGTGCGTGCATGGGTGAGTATGCGTTCACAAAACACCATCGAAGAGATGCGAATGTTTCAATAACGATATGATATGCAAAAGAACCTTAAATAGTCTTGGATTGATTCGTTTTAAACTTTGTGATCGTGTTATATTCATCGAGGGTCGAGTTCTATCTGACTCAGTCCCGACCTAAAATCTAATTATGAACAATATGTTAAAATGTTATGACAGGCAGTTTCCATCCAGGGGTCGGGAAAGGGGGGGGGGGGTGGAAGGGGGGGGGGGGGATATCAAATGTCGTATCCGGACACCTACCCTCTAGAAATCCACCCCCGGGAAGCCACCCCCAGTCAACCACCCTCTAGGACGATTACCCCCAGGACAACTACCCCCAGTCAACTACCCCCTAGGACAACTTCCCCCAGACAACTACCCCCAGACAACTACCCCTGACAACTACCCCCTAGGACAACTACCCCTAGGACATCTACCGCCGGAAAACTACCCCCTTGAAGAACTACCGCCTAGGATAGTTGTCCAGGGGGTAGTTGTCTGGGGTTAGTTTCAATCCTTTAGCCTGAACCTCGTACACCCTCGATTTGCACGAGACACATTTTTATTAACAATAACATTGATAGAGATTTAGTTAAGATAGACCTTGCTTATAGGGAATATGGTCGAAGGGGTTCAATTTATTTAGGGGGTACAGTGCATTTAACAAGTCTAGATAGATTGTGGACAAAAAGTGGGTGAGGAATAGAATCTCCACCGGAGGTGAAGAACGGTCTTTATTACTTATCCTTGTGGTCAGGGGGGGGGGGGGGTGGGGTGATGCATCCCCCCTGGCTTGAAGACGGGGGGGGTGGCCTGTACAAATATCCCCCCCCTGAGATTACAAACAAAAAAAGAGAAAACAAAGGAAGAAGAAGAAGAAAAAAAAAGTGATTGTTTCAATTTCAGCATAATGCATGAGAAATGTGTTGTTTTGTTTATGTATGTATAACTGTATAGACTGCACGTATACAGTATGTCACGATCATTACGAGTAGTTGCGCGACGTGCGCGAACAAGCACTTCATAAACTTCAGAATAATTTTTCGTTATTTTGCAAGGTATTATCATAGCCCAGACGTAAAGTGCGCCAGCGCGCGAGCGCTTAAAAAGTGCAATCATGTACAGTAGATGCCCGGCTGCGTTATTTTTTTCTGCGGCACAGATCGGGGCATGACCTATGGGAAGTACGTTCTTTCCCTTCTGAAAAGTGTCTGAACGTACGTGAGACTAATTATGTTCACTAGCGCTAGCGCATAGCGCTGCGAAGAAGTTTGAAGGGCCATCGCGAACTATGTGTTTAGATAACATTCCTCTTCGTTTAAGTTAGCTGTTAGTTATAAGTTTTATTGACTAATTATAATTATTGTGATGTTCTCCTTATTGACGTACTGCCTCGTCTTTAGATTTCCAATTTCATTTTAATCGTTGATGTAATGATTTTCCATACGGTAGTGGACTCACATACCCTGGTAACACTATTAAAAACAGATCTCTAAACTCTACTAGTACGCACACGACCACTATTAGTCTGTAAATCAAGACCCCTTTAAAAAAAAAAAGCCCCAATCTGTGCCGCAGAAAAAAATAACGCTGCCCGGCTCCCCCCTTCTTCTTTTTCATAGCCGAAAGATCGTCATGGAATCGGTTACCATTACTAATTCTATGAAAAGAATAAAGACAGAAGATAAACGAATGGAAAAATGTTTGATGAGGATATATTACCATGATTACCGAAATTCTAGAAATGCTTAACACTTTGTATGGATTAAAACTATAGGATAAAGATGATAATCGAAGTTATAAGATGCGAAGGAGTTTGCTTAAATATACGATATGCCTGATTCTCAAAACTGGACAACGTGAAGATCTAAAATAACGTATAGTCTTGGGCCTAAGTTGATGAAACAACAGACAAACATTGTACCAGTGGGAGGAGGGGGGGGGGGGGGGGGTGGTCCCCATCCACCTTCAGGTACTACGCCCGAAGTGGAATTCCCCAGAACGAGGCATTGTTGTGGAGTTGCCTCCCGCTATTGTGTGTGTGCGTCGATGAGTATTTGTTCACATTAAACACCATTGCAGACATGCGAAAATTACAATCGTGTATTAAATTATCCTAATATTCTTTTTTTTGAAAAGGATACGCAAAAGAGCCTTACAATAATATTACCCTTGAATTGATTTGTTTTAAAACAATCTTTGCAATCGTGTTATATTCACAGAGGGTCGGTTTTCAGATGACTGACTCCAAACCTAAAACCTTGTTATGAAGATTATGTGTAAAAGATGTGGTAGGCAGTTTCAGTCCGGCTGGCAGGGGGGGGGGGGGGGTTCAGTTAAACATATATATATATATATATATATATATATATATATATATATATATATATCTCTCTTTTGCTTGTTACGGCGCGTAGCGCCTGCCGCGTTAAGGGTGTCAAACAGGCAATCAGTCTGGAAAAAGCGAATGTTTTGTTAACTTGATAAAACACATTTAGGCTTCCCTTTTCCTATTCTTTGCTTAAGACCCCTGTTACACATGCGTAGACTTCGTGCACCCTCGAATTACACGAGTAATTTTTTTCAACTTGTACTTTTATAGAGCTTTAATCGAGGTAGACTTTCTTGATATGTTCGAGGGGTTAATCTTATGAGGACATTTTCGAGAAAAAGCGTTAATAAAAATCAGTGTGTGAGGGGGGGGGGGGGGGGAGGGTTAGGGCACATAATCTCCGCCGGTCCTTGGTGAAGTATGGTCTATATCCTATATGCTTGTGGTTGATATAGGCTAGGTTATATAACTACCATTATTCCTCCTCCTCCTCTCATTTTGCTTCTACGACCCCTCCAACAAAACTAAATTTGCCATAGCTAGGCTACTCTAAATAGGTAAGCCTAATCAAATGAAAGAAGACGAGAGGAGAGAGAGAACAGCACACAAACAAGTCTGTTCCTCCTGTTCAGTGTTCATACTATAGCCCCCTAGAAAATGTAAGAACCCCTTTTTAAATTTTCCTCGTCAAACGTTCTTGCTCAGATTTGGCAAGCACATTGTTATCAACCTCGTAGAGTAAAAGTAAGTATTTATATTTTTGAAACGTCATCGTCAAGTTTAACCCCTGACGCACTAGTTTGTTATAATAGAAAACATCTAATTTCTACCTT